CGTGTTTATCATCAATGTGCTATTGTTCCACGAAGAAAAGTTTATTACAAGCTAAATGTTATTTTCAAAAAAAGTAACGCAGTTGATCTTTCGTAGATACTGCTGAACGATATTAATCAACGAACTCGGGCATAGGCGACACTCAAATTACAAAAATTAGGCATGTAAGTTATTTCATCCTCTATTCAACACCAGAATCAAGGAAGAAAAGTAAAAATTCCTGAAAACTGACAGCAAGTTCTACAAGACTACGAGCTGCAATAGCAATTGGCTCACTTAGCTCACCCAGAAGCGCAAAATGTACCAAATATTCCAAAAATAGAAAAAAATTGACCTTCATACACAAAAATTAAACCATACATAGCTCCACAATTTTCTTACTTCCACGATTTGAGGATCTCACTTAGCAGCAATTGCACCATTTTTCAAGGCGACGATTGCATTCAACAAATGGTTAAAAAACACATTTGCCGACACATTTTTTCTGTGATGTGGGTGATTCCTAGATTTCTAGAATAATCATAAGTAACTCTTCGTCAGGAATTTTTAATAAGATCAGCAAGTCTTGGAGAATAGAACTTTTAGTGTCTCCCATCAGAACAATGCATTTACTATCTTCTTAATTCTCCTAATCTAAAATCTTTTCAATACGCTTTATTTTAGTAGCCGTGATATCTGAACTCTGACAATGAACAGGCTCTCTGAACTCAACTTGAAGTTAACACCAGAGCAGGAAAGTGACTCACCACCAACATTTGCGCAAACACCTCTCAATAAATGCCAGCAAAAGACTATACTTAGTCACAAAGTAGTTCTCATACAGAAATGAGTCATAGTAGTCATTATTGGTTTCGCAACTGCAATCGATTCAGCAAGAGAAGTTCAAACTAGCAAGTTTCAATGACAATAAATAGTCTACCGCTACTGCAAATAAAGTAATGGGATCCTTGCTGAATACTTGCACGAAGAGATGGTTTCTCGCAACATCAACAATTAATGGGAAAATACAGGAAAAGAGCCATGTGACCTTTTTATCACGTCAAAAGAAGGGAACTTACAAACTTCTCACTTCATTCAGCGCTCTCATTAAGTTCTTGAAGTGCCATAAAAATGACCAAGGAAATTCTGAACTTCTCTATTATCACAAGAGATGTCCCAAAGGTCATAACAAAGCAATTTACAACAGACGGAAAGGGTAAGTTGTTATGAGATGAGAGTATGAAAAAGGAAAAAAGTTTTATGATATATATGGTAAGTAGAATTCCACATACCTGTGTCAGGAACGTCAGTTGGTCGCATAACACGTCGAATTTGTTCCATATTTTGTAGATCTGGTGATAAACCACCATGACAACAGAATATCTTCTCATCAATGAGTGCAGCAATTGGTAGACAATTGAAGCAATCAGTAAATGTTTTCCATAGTTTGATTGAGAATCTGCGTTTACCTGAAGGACATAACTTACAGTTGAAAAATATAATAAAATTGATTTAGATACATCGGGTATTTGATAAATTTCGCAAATAAAAGCATACCAAAAATATGAATAGGGGATTACAAAGTGCACACTCCTTTCAATCCAATCCAATTACAGTGCCTTTTGCAAAAATAGCCTTTTATTAGTAAAGATACACGCACTTTTGCAATCTTTTCTTTAGAAAATTTGAAGCCTTGTTTTATTATCTATCCAGTTCTA